AATGAAACAGATAGTGCAACTAGCAGGCATGCACTTGTTTCCATCAGAGGCATTTACATTTCTAATAATCTATCTCAGGTATGTTCCATGCATAGAGCTGTTTCTTTTGAATCGACAAGAAAGATGTCTAATATCTTCTCTACTACTTAGTGCTGTGAAAGTGGACAGAGATGAGAAAGAGGTATGTTTTTTGAAATAGCACATATCTAGCACTGTTGCAGATATATATTCAACCAGTGTTTGATTGAAGACATTGCACACTTGATCTGATCAACTTTATTAAACCTCATTAAAAATGTACAACCATCATATCTCAAGCACTATTTCAGATATAGACATTTAACCAGTGCTTTTAATAAAGATGTCAGGGGATCTGATTGCTTTCTTGTTTTTTAATGAGAAAATTGATGTCACTGAAAAGATTTCTATTTTACATAGGATGGTGGTTTGTATGACAGATTGTATCTGTGTTTGTATTACACTGTATCTGAATTGAATAAAAGACAACAGCGAGAACTGCAACATCTGAAGAAAACCTCTGTCAATCCAATGTAAGTATATCTGAGCAGATTATTATATTGCCATCTATAGTGGCAGCTACTTGATTAGTTTATCGAAGGCACTGTTGTCAGTTCCATTTAAGACCATTTTCCCAGAAGTCTAAGATACAGCATTTTGCATGTGTGGACATAACGGATATGGGGTGTAAGAAAACATGTACATGTGATATTGTACTTGTTGTACCAATTGACGTCATAAAACTCAATTTTTACCGAATATTAGGAGACTGACATGTTTGTATTTGTCTCTATGTCAAAAGCAGGCGTCTTTCTGCAGCCCAGTTTTCCTAGTTTTGAGAAAGTGGTCTATTGCATGTGTGCAAAGTTCTGCCTCTGTTGGATGAGACTTGTAGAGTGATATTTTAATTGTGATAGAAGATGCATGTTTAAATCTACCCCATATTTGATGTAAAACAGGCCTTGAATGATAAGACATTTTATTTGTCTTTCTTTTAATGCAGGTAATACTGTAAGGGGAAATAATCACTGAGTTTAAAATCCACTTTGTGATGGTAACAGTATATTCTATTGTTAACTTTGCATATTCACTAGGTTTTAGTTTAGTACATTTATTCTTAACTATCAGCAAAATAATGCAAAAGTAAAAAATAGTGAATAATTAAGCCCAAGACAGTATTGCAGGAGATAATATTAGGGTGTACAATCTATGCAGTGCATGTCTTCATGAATTCATTTCCAGCATATTTTTATTTGACAGTAGATCCGTAGATTAAAAATGATGAAAATACACAGCATCTATTGGTAAAAACACTTTGAGTTGATTCTTGCATGATGCATGGTTTGATATGCATACTGGTTTGTCTTGCATGGCCTTTTTTTATATGTTACATTGCACTATATTTTCTACTTGTAATGTTGATGGGAAATATTGAACTTGAATTCCACATTTAACACTATCTGAGCAATGGTGTAAAAAAATGATGTAAGTGAAAGGCCACAAACAAAGTTGGTTGTTTTGACATATCAGTGGTGGCTGAAATGTAGCAGTGTTGGTCACTTTGACATATCAGTGGTGGCTGAAATGTAGTAGTGTTA